CTATAGCCCTTCTATCTTGTCCTATATCTAACAAATACATATTTATTTCCAGTTTCATCCAGTTTCTGCCTTAACTGAGTTGGCACATGGTGTAGCACGCAAAACCAAAAATTCTCAAGTGCTTTACTCCTGGTTTTCTACCACAAAATTCTTCAACGGGAGTCTTGTTTTCCAATGCTTTTGTAGGACACCTATTAAGTATGTAGACAACAGTGTGAACTGCTTCACCCCAGAACTTGAGTGGTAGCTTCTTTTCATATAGCACGGTTTTTGCTATCTTTACAATAGTACGATTTTTCCTCTCAACAATGTCATTTTGCTGGGGAGAATAAGCAACAGCGAGTTGCTTTTCAATACCAACATCTTCATAAAACTTCTCAAATTTTAGAGATGTATACTCTCCCCCTTGTCACTTCTGAGCTTCTTCAACTTGTGACCAGTTTGTAGTTTAACCATAGCCTTGAACATTTTAAAAATTCTGAATACCTCATACTTATACTTCAAGAATTAGACCCAGCACATCCTTGACTTGTCATCGATGAAGGTAAGAAAGTATTTGCTGCCACCAAGAGTCTCACTCATGGGTCCACACATATATATGTGTAGAAGTTCTAGTGGAAATGTTGCCTTCCATCTCTGTTCTTTGTTAAAGGCCTCTCTGTGAGCCTTTCTAGTGGCACACCCTTCACACACCTGATTATGCTCTTGTAAGTGAAGCATACCATACACCATGCACATTTCTTACAGCATTCTCAAACTGTCATAGTTAAGATGCCCAAATCTTCTGTGCCATTTCCATGTATTTCCTTCAATAGTTGCTCTATTTGCTACAATGTGATCCACATATTCAAACATTAGAGGGAAACATCTATTTCCTTTCATTTGCACAGTAGCAACATGGTATTGCAGTTCTATGTCACCAAATATGCAAGCCATGAAATCACCAAATACTAGCCAATACCCAAGTTCTACCATTTAGCCTACATTGAGAATGTTCTCATCTAAACCTGGTACAATTATGCCTTCTGGTATGTACCTAGTTCCTTTCTTAGTCTTAATTACCAGAGTCTCTTTCCCAATTGAATCAACCAAGTCCTTGTGCCTATTTTCACCTTACACCTTATATTTATGTCAATGTTGATAAACAATGATTCAATACTAGTCATGTGGTTACTGCAACAACTGTCCAGATACCAAACACTACTATTTTCTTGCACAGAGACCTTATGGCAAGCATAGAACATCAATGCATTGTCTTGAGCATGGTTCAAATAGTTGGTAGCATATGTTTTCTTAGGCTGATGACAATCATTCACTACATGTCCAAATCTGTTGCAATTATGGCATTTAGGTTTTCCCTTAAACCAACACTCTCCATAGTGAGCCTTATCATAGATTTTGCACTTTTGTTTAGCACCCTCAGTGATCTCACCCTGTCTCTCAGGCTGGTGAGTATTGTTTTCTCATTTCTTAGGCTTAGACTTCCAATTCTTCTTTCCCTTATTGTGATTTCCCTGTGTAAATGGCCTATTATGTGCTTTAGGTACAAGATTCATACTAGAGAAAGCATGATCTGAGCTTGCAGCATCATCCCTATGTGATTTCATCTGATTAATTATTTCAAATAATATAGTAAGATAGGCAGATAGAGATTCATTTCTTTCATCCTCATATATTCAAATTCAAGACGTAAACTTTGGAGTTTGACATATCTTGCATGTTCATAGCCACGAAATTCCTCTTGGAGTAGATCCCATGCACCCTTGGATGTCTCTTAGTTCACAATCCTAGGGAAGATCTCCTTAGAGACTGCACTCTGAATGATTCCCAGGGCTTTAGCATCCTTAATTAGTTGATCCTCCATGAATGCACTAAGCTCGTCATCGTCTCCTTCAACGCCATCTGACTCGGATGAATCTTCCTTGCCATCCTCATTCTTTGTTTTTCCCTTTTCTCCCTTCTTCTTCGATTTTGGAATAGTAATCCCCTTGTCTACCAGTTTCCAAATCCCATACGATTTGAAAATGGTGACCATTCTCATAACCGTTCGAGAGGGAGAGAATCTCGGAGAGCCTATGAGCTCATCCAACCATTCATTACAAGACCCTATGAGATCTTGACACTTGCTTACATTTGAGCCTACTACAAATTAATCTAATCTCAGCCCTTGATCACTAACAATTCTAATTACTCAAACTAACAACTTGTTACAAATAATGAAATGATAGTTTAGACCTTAATGCATCTCGACAAGTTTCTAGATCATAAGTATCACGATGATCGTAATGATACCGGTGATCCAAGTGTAGTAGCAGCCATCAAGCACGAGTATGTTTATAAAGAAGTGCCAGGTGTTTAGGTTTCCATGTTGTGTTCCCGTAACGACCTGTTGTTATGCATGATGTGCGACTTGAGGTTATATTTGGTTAACCTCTCCACCAAGGAAACCAAGAAACTACCAACAATACCAAAAGAAGAGAAGTATCGTAGTTCAATCAATCTATATAGGATTGGATTTGATCATTCCACTTATGAACACAAGGTGGTTAAGGGACTCTACACGAAATACAATTGCTTAATCAACCTTTTGCTTTATGATTTTGATGAAGATGTCGTGTTTAGTGTTTATACGTTGGAAGCCGATTCTTGGAGAAAGATCAAGGGATCACTTCCCTACAGATTTTGTGCAAGTGAACCAGGGATTGTGCTGAATGGAGATCTCCACTGGTTCAGGGAAAGACTCGGAGACCAGTCACGGTTAATTGTTTCTGTTGCTCTAATGGGGGAGGAGAGGGTTCGAGAAATTCCACTCCCGCTTGACTGTGGTTATGCCGGAAGTACTAATCGAAGGATGAAACTGGGAGTCTTCAGATAATGGTTATGCATAACATATTATTCTTGTCCTTGTGGTGGGACATATAACTAGTTTTGGGTTGTGACAAAATATGGAGATGAGGGTCTCCGTCCCCTATCCGAAATTAAAACATTTCGATTTCTGGACAAAGTCTCATGATTTGATGGTGTTCGGAGAACAGTTAATCATGTACAATTTTATGACAAAAGCCATTGGAAGATCAGCATTCATGGAATCAGTAGAGTTGGTCGTGTTTTTATGTGCTTGGAGAGCCTTATTTCGCTTAAACAACGTTAGAGAAGTATTTCGAAGATTGAAGTGTGAAGAAAGATCAATTCAACTCAATCGCCTTATTTTTTTTCAAATTTTTTTTCATGATTTTGGTATTCTTTGAATATGCTTCAACATTGAAGAAAGGGTTCTAATAGCTAAATTAGTGATTAATAGTTAATGTTCTTGTCAAACTTTTCTCTTAGTTGCCAAGTTTAGATTCATAAACTTTTTTTTTTAGGAAAATTTACTTCTGATGGTCTTTACCACTATTATTACGCATTCAAGCACTAATCAGTTTGTGACACTCATCAATTATTTGGATTCACTCAATAATATTGATTTCTCATAATTGGAGCGTATGCTACTACTGAAAGATCATTACTACAAAAATTTACTCCAATAAAAAAAGTGTAAATAAATAGTATAGAGTCATGTTTTCCTAACTTCATGTCCAAAAAATTATGATCACACATCATTCTATATCCAAGAAAATTATTTTATGTCTAAAAAACTATGATCACATGCCGTTTCATATCAAAGAAAATTATGATCACACATTCTTCGGTCATAGTTGGTCTAATATGACCCTCATATGATTCCTTAACTGGGAAGAGTATTCCCCTGGGAAGCTAATAATTATTATTTATCACAAATAGCATCGAGTTCTCTCACTTTAAATAAAGTTTTAATTCTTCTACTAGCATCTAATATTCCGCTGTAGCACATAAATTGGATTGAGCTTTGTATCACAACCGGGTTCGAATCCCGGCAGCGGAATGTTTTTTTTAATTTTTTTATTTAAATAGTTTATTAATTCTCTTCTTAACAACCCACTACTTTGTAACTTGTAGCACAATAATGACTCATTTAGAAGTGCTTTTGAAATGACTGAAAACGCTTTTGATAATATTTTTCAAACCTATCCTTAAAGTAATCCTGGAAAACCATCGCCAACAGAAGCAGTAAAAACTAAGGAGGAAACAAGTCGTGTTGTAAAAGAAAAGGAGATAGTGATCGGGTTTGGTTAATCACGTTGGGTAGGGTTGGGGAAGGACGGGCAAATGATCAACCCAACCCAACTCATTCAATGAACGGGTTGAAATCGGGTTGGGTTCGGGCGGGTTATAATTATAAAAAACTCCGCTGGTTCGGGTTTAAAGTCGGGTTGGACATGAACGGGTTTGAATTGGCCCAATCTGAGTTGCTCCCCTAGGAAAACCTACGCCGAAGAATTTCCAAAACCTCTTCCATTTTCACGATTTTACAGGCCAGCAGAGCCATGCCATGATAAAGCACATCTGCCATCTCCGAGGCAACACGTAGCCTATCTTCGTTCTCCTCCAGTGTTTGGCATAACTCGTCTGCCTCTTCCCTGGAATGAGAAAGAAAACCATGAACAATGGCTTACAAGTGAAAATACAGAAGATATCTATTTATTAATATAGTTTTCGACTATGAAGATAACATCTATTACTCAAACCACCTAAAGTCTGCATCAGATGATAACAAGCATATTACTATTCTAATTCTTTTACTACCTTTTTTTTGAGTTATTGAGAAGTTAAGAAACAAAGTGAAAAAGATTTATATCATTCCGACTCAAATCTGACGAGCAATATGACATTTTGAACATCTTACCTAGTTTTTGAGCACAACAACTTCTCATCAGATAGTAGACGGTGAGTCCACGAGGGTTTTCCATTCTCTGGAACTTCTAATTCTTCTTTTCGCTGGCAATTGTCGACTCTAATGAGTACAAAGTGGTCAAAGCTAATTTATGTTCGTCATATCACAAATCATCTGAATCACTTATAAACATACTGTAAATTTGGTGCATGAGTTTTTTTTTTTTAATTGATTCAATGTTGAAAACCTGTCGATGTTCCAACAAATCAAGCACTGGGGTTTAATGGCACATCTCTGACCCTGTGTGGCAGGTAGGTCCATCAAGCTTCCCAAGGTATATTATCTGAGAAATAGGTCTGAGTTAAAGTAATTGATGTAAAAAAAATATATTAGTGAGTAGGTTCCAGCTAAACTAGCCAATGACATACGGAGTCTCGGTCACAATCAAGGAAGATTTCTTGGACATTAATGAAATTATTGGAGGCCTCTCCCAATGACATACGGAGTCTCGGTCACAGTCAAGTAAGTAGGTACCTTTAATTGAAGATGGAGGTCCCTGTCAAAGTTGCTGGTGGAAGCATAAATAAGAGAACTGCTCTTTCTACTTAAATTGCTTCTACCATAATGATACTGGTTAGGAAAGGAAATGCGGCACGGGGAAGAAACTCTCACAGATTGCACAGAATGCAAGTGTGGAATCGCCATTCAAATCAACTTTCCTGGTACATAAATACAAGGTGAAGCCATTTGTCACCAAAAAGGACCAACCAGGGAAATAAGAAAAGAAGATATCAACTTTAAATAAATTGTTAATTCTTCTACTAGCACCCAATAATCCGCTGTAGCACATAAATTGGATTGAGCTTTGTATCACAACCGGGTTCGAATCCCGGCAGCGGAAAAAGTTTTTTATTTTTTATTTAAATAGTTTTTTAATTCTCCTATTAACAACACTCCTTTGTAACTTGCAGCAAAATAAAGGCTCATTTAGAACACTCCTTTGTAACTTGTAGCACAATAAATGCTCATTTAGAAGTGTTTTTAAAATGACTGAAATCATTTTTGACGAAAATATTTTTGAAACCAATCCTTAGTATAAATCCAAATAGATCCTGGAAAAGCAGTTTAAGAAAGCGTTTTTTATGAAAATATTTTTTAAAACCAATCCTTAGTAAAAATCCAAATAGATCCTGAAAAAACAGAATAAGTGCTTCCTGCAAGAAGCATATATTTGATGCTTCTTCCAAAACACACCTAAAGTGCTTTTGGCATCCAAAATTAATTTCACAAAAAACGTTTTCAGTCATTTTAAAAACTCTTCCAAACGAGCTCTAAAATGGTTTGAGCGCCGGTACCGCCATCTTTGTCGTTGATCGAAACTAGTTAACCAAATGATTGAGATTTAAAATCACACACACTACTGAAATTAGCTGCAAATTAGGTTAAGAAATACTCCTTGTACAAATTAAGACTATAGTATATGGTGAATAAAACGATAAAACATAAGAGGTGATCAAAGCAAATCATTTAAACTTGACAGACTGAGCTGCCCGTGTCTAGGCTTATGACTTGCGGTTTCTCTTTTCCTCGATACCCGACTGGGAAAACCTACGCCGAAGAATTTCCAAAACCTCTTCCATTTTCACGCCTTTACGGGCCAGCAGAGCCATGCCATGATAAAGCACATCTGCCATCTCCGAGGCAGCACGCAGCCTATCTTCGTTTTCCTCCAGTGTTTGGCATAGCTCATCCGCCTCTTCCCTGGAATGAGAAAATACATAAGATAGCTCATTTATTAATACAGTTTTCGACTATGAGGATAACATGTATAACTCGAACCACCTAAAAGTCTACATCCGATGACAGCAAGCATATTACTATTCTTATTCTTTTACTACCTTTTTTTTCGAGTTATTGAGAAGTTAAGAAAAAATGTGAAAAAGATTTATATCAATTTGACAAGCAATATGACATTTTGAACATCTTACCTGATTTTCGAGCACAACAGCTTCTCATCAGATAGTAGACGGCAAGTCCACGAGGGCTTTCCACTCTGGAACTTCTAATTCTTCTTTTCGCTTGGCAATTGTCGACTCTAATGAGTACAAAGTGGTCAAAGCTAATTTATGTTCTTCGTCCTGTCACAAATCATCTGTATCACTTACAACACATGCTGTAAATTTGATGCATGAGTTTTTTTTTTAATTGATATGTTGAAAACCTGTCGATGTTCCAAGAAATCAAGCACTGGTGTATAATAGCACGTCTCTGACCCTGTGTGGCAGGTAGGTCCATCAGGCTTCCCAAGGTATATTATCTAATAAATAGGTCTGAGTTAAAGTAATTGATGTAAAAAAAAAAAAAAATATATATATATATATATATATATATATTAGTGAGTAGGTTCCAGCTAAACTAGCCAATGACATACGGAGTCTCGGTCACAATCAAGGAAGATTTCCTGGACATTAATGAAATTATTGGAGGTCACTCCCTTTGTCCACAAGGTTGATCGCGACCGACTGTAGAATGTAGCCTTCCGTGAGGAAACTGTCATGGCCACTGCCTCCCTGTTAGCAAAGCCTTGCATCAAGATGGCTCCTGTGTCAACGTTTTGAGCTATGGCCACCGCTAAACCTTTGTCATCCCATTTTACATTGTCTAACACTGTTTCAACCTGAAATAAAATTGATGGATATTATGATCTCATCCATTTGCATATTCTATCCTAAAAATATGAAGAGTTAAAATACAGCATCCAAAACAAACTAAGTGAAGATGCATATATTACATCTATTGGCACTACAGTATTTGTCATGATATGAGAGTGATTTGTAACAAGTTTTGTACATTTACGAAACTAAGTGAAGATGCATATATATATATATATATCATATATTGGCAATTATACACAAACTACTAAATTCAAACAATGAAGAATCATTCTGTAATTTCAAACTATGCTGAGGGCATTATAGTTCTTTTCGGTATTGATTTCTGTAAATGCTGATGGGTTTATCGAAATAAATTCAAACAATGAAGAACCCTTCTCTAATTTCACTATGCATCATCTCGATTAGAAATATTTCTAGGACAGAATGACAACAACCATTAACCTAGTGAAATTAACTGCACAAGTAGGTACCTTTGATTGAAGATGGAGGTCCCTGTCAAAGTTGTGGGTGGAAGCATAAACAAGAGAACTGCTCTTTCTACTGAAATTGCTTCTACCATAATGATACTGGTTAGGAAAGGAAATGCGGCACGGGGAAGAAACTCTCACAGATTGCACAAAATGCAAGTGTGGAATCGCCATTCACATCAACTTTCCTGGGACATAAATACAAGGTGAAGCCATTTGTCACCAAAAAGTACCAACAAGGGAAATAAGAAAAGAAGATATCAATTACAAACGCATCCACAATGATACCTAGGAATTGAAGAAATATGCGTGAGGCCCCGAAAGTTAAAATCTTGAGAGGAATTGATACAACGGAAATTATATCTGCAATAATAAGATAGATAAATCATGAGAGTGGTGATAGAATTTTTTGTGTGTGTGTGTGAGAGAGAGAGAGAGAGAGAGTGTACCATAGCAGAGAAATTCTCCAACCAGCCCCCTTCTGATTCTTATGATGCCCTAAATAAAAAAGATAAATTTACATAATTCCTTATAGAGTTCCTCCTCAGAAGCTAACATAATTCTGTCACATAATGGTTTAACTTAGTATTCATCCTGTCACATATTGATTCATACGAAACGAATACAGTTCCACAAAGGATTCATGTTGGAGATGCAAAGACAGAAGATTATATGATTTCATATTCTAATCTCCCATTGCCCTAAAAATTATTTTTGAAAAAAATATCAACCTTCTTGAGGCTCAACTGTAGCTGGAGCGGGATCCATATCGCCAGCTGCATAATCAATTTATCGGGTACCAATAATATGAACGACATATCAATGGTCGATCGAGTATATATTGATCCCAGTCCTACTCCAGCAATGTATATTCTATAAACCCAATATGAAGAGTCAGTACATCAATGTAAGTTTTTAGTTCCATAACATTGTAGAACCAAACCTCCTATGAAGGGGGTTTCGATTAAACCGGTTCAAATCTACTCCGAAAGTTCAAACCTTCATTGCAAAATGACCTCAACAACATCAGTAGCTGCCTCCCTATAATTTATAATTTACACAGAACTGAGCGCAATGACGTTCTAGGATTCATATAACTGACTCCACTTGGTAGGAAAAGGCTTTGTTGTTGTTTGTTGTTGTATTTGAACACATTTTTTTGCAAAATTTCTATCACGTTTCTACTGAAAATTTAAAACCCAGGCATATATTACTTAAAAGCTCCAAACTTTACACCACTTAATTACTCCAAATCCAAAGCAACAGCATTAATCAATCTTTTCTTCCAAAACCCATGATTTTTATCGGGTACCATTGAATTCTTCACAACCCATGAATTTGCAGAGATTTTTCTTGTGATTCAAAACCGGCATTAATCGGTGGGTCAATGTGAAAAAGGAAAAAACCAGGAAAGAAAATCCATTTTAGTATCATATATTCATATCTCAAGCTGAACAGAAATAGAGTAAAAAGGGAAGCCTACTTGGTTGCCGCCGACGGCTGCTTGCCGAACGTTGCTGCTGCTGCTGCTGATGAAGTGGTGCCGTTTTACGACGATACAAAATATTACATATCCGTAATTAGCCTTCAACCCAAACCAACCCAACCCAAATTTTGGCCCAAATGCATTTTGGATTGAAATGACTATCCAGAAGATTGATCTCCACGCCAAATTCCAAATTTTGACATCTTAGCCCCGACTCTACATGTAATTAGCCAAGTAGGGTGGGCGCGGTGCGGTTTGGTGCGGTTTCGAATGAAACCACAACCGAAACCGAAATATTTTGCGGTGCGGTTTTGAAGCCAAAACCGAAATGAAACCAAACCGTTCGGTTCGGTGCGGTGCGGTTTCAAACGGTTTCGGTTTGGTTTTTGAGAAAAAAAATGTACAATTTAAAATATACATCTATTTATGCATAAGACGGTCTTATTTTCCTCGTATATTAATTAATGAATATGCAGTAAAATTGCAGCAAAACTGCATAAAAAACAGCAGCAAAAACTGCACAAAACTGCACCAAAACTGCACAAAACTGCACCAAAAAATAATGCAGCAAAACTGCATTAAAAAACAGCACCAAAACAGCCCCAAAACTGCACCAAAAAACTGCACAAAACAGAACCAAAAATCTGCACCAAAAGTGCAGCTAACTTGTACCAAAACTGCAACAAATGACAACTACTAAAATTGAGACAACATCCAATGCATCAAAGGATTTAAACTTTAAATCCTTATGCATCGCATCTATTAAAATTGAACTTGATCACCAATCACAATACTTTACAATCCAATTGAAAGGTTAAGTTTGCCATAATACAAACCTATAAGTTATAACCTAGTTGAAAAGTTTAAAATATAAGTTATATAACATTTATTTATTATATGGTGCGGTTTCGGTTTCGGTGCGGTTTTGAAAACCCAAAACCGAAACCAAACCGTTTTGTGTGCCGCGGTTCGGTTTTGAAACCGAAACCGTTTCAAAACCGCAAAACCAAACCGTTTCAAAACCGCAAAACCAAACCGTTTGGTGTGGTTTGATTCGATTCGTGTTTCGGTTTCGGTTTTCGGTTCCAAGTGCCCACCCCTATAGCCAAGCGGTATTTCTCCTTACTTATGAGTTTGATGATATAGGTTCGGTTGTTTGGAATGTTGAATTCGATACTAATATTGGTGACAATCATTTGTTAAAACTAGTTTTGTTTTGTAAATTGTAGTCACCTTCAAATGTTTTGGAAATAAATGTAATTGTGATGAGTGACGTAATTTATTCTTTTGATATTCCTCCTATACTAAAGAATTTTATTAGTTTGCTTAAGATTGTTTTTGGAAGCCACTTAATACCATGGTCTTAGATTCGATTCTCACTAAAGGCAAATTTGAACCACATTATTGTTACTTCATTGTGAGGCTTAGCCCACTTCCCAAAACCCTTAAGTAGATAATATCGGTTTTTTTTTAAAGGATTGTTTCTGGAATGGCTAAACATGTTTCAAAAAGGCGATAAACCTTTGGTCAGATACAATCTTAAAACTTACAAGTTGTATCTTATCTTGCATGCCAAATTGATTGACATCTGAAAAAAAAAAAAAAAAAAAAAATCATTTAACCCAAGGAGTCAATGGACTCGCAAGCTCATTTGAAATGAATATTTCCGACTTCAACAAAGGCTAGCCCCTGACTAGCACCTTTTAGAACGTACTGAGGTGATGCAAGGAGGAGATTTCTTTTCTATTGGCTTGATCTCGGTATGACATTGGTATTTCATGGTCATTGGCAAATCTTCTTGGGTCGACTTCTAGGGAGTGGGTTTTTGACTTAAATTTTTTGTTTTGGTCTTTTGATTTTAGAAAAACGCGAAGTGTTGTAATATATTTTTTTTTTTTTTTAAGAAACGAGAAGACCACTCATTTACAAGTGAATTTAATACCACTACAATTGGTGCTGTATTATCTTACAAATCTTGCAATTTGGCCCCTAAAATCAATGAATTTGATTGTTTTTTTTGAACGACAACAAATATTGTAAAAATTTGTAACTGGAAAGAAGGCGAAAAAAGTAAATAAACAAATAGAAATGAAAGGGCAAGATGGTCATTTTCTTGAGAAAGAATATGCGAAAGTGCCGAAGGTGGCGACATCATGCACAAAAGATTACAACCGTTAGGGCATCACAAGACTCACAAGCCAGCCGCAGTGCTAAGTAAACATTACAACCGTTAGATCAAATCCCCGAAATCCAACGGCTCAGAAAGAAACCCTAACGAAACTGATGCAGCAATCGCTCTTTAAATCCCCGAGCTCCTCACTCTCTTCATCCTCTCCATCTCGCTCCTGAGTCTGAAGTCGGCCGCGAGATCTTCTTACGCTCCTCCATTTTCTTGAGGTTAGCACATCTCTCTCCTCTCTCTCTCTCTCTCTCTCTCTAGATTTAGATTTTCTTTCTGTATCAATGTTTACGGCTTCGAAGTTCTTGAAATCGTATCGTTTTGAATGTCATTTGATTGATTGAAGTGAATCGATAATCTGGGTTTTGTTTATTGATCAATATTTGTGATAAGATCTGTGGGTTCTTCTTGAAATGGCATGTGGATTCATGGGTTCTAGGGGTTTTTCGTTTTTGATGAAAATGTTCGAGGATTTGATGAAAATGTTCGAGGATTCATGGGTTCTAGGGGTTTTTCGTTTTTATGAACTGGGTTTTTCGTTTTTCTTGAATTTAGATTCTTGTATCAGATGCAGGAAGATCCAATCTGAATTGGGTTTTGCAATTAAGTTTATTAGGCTTCATTATCTGGTTTGTGGATTTATCAGTTCCATGTGACTCGTTCCCTTGAAGCAATATTAATCGTGTTGCCTTCATAAATTATTACCTCCAATTTTTTCTTATTTATTTGGGGATTATTGGTGCAACTAAATTTTTTCGTAAAGTAATTTCGTTGTTTATTTTTAAAACGTTTATTTTGTTAATATTTAATAATATTATGCATTTGGGTTCAGTAATTTGATTGCAACAGTGATGATTCCTACAGACCTGTAATGATTTGCGGATATGATCGCAGATCTAAGAACATCTAAGGGACTGAGTTCAATTTTCTCTTGTTTGTTTGGGAACACTGTAGCAACTACCTACTTCTGTTGTGCATGTTTACAAATTACATTAATTTATTTTTAAATTTGTTATTCTAGTAATTGTTTAAGTAACTGTGATGATTCCTACAGACCTGTAATGATTTGCGGTAATGATCGCATATCTAAGAACATCTAAGGGACTGAGTTCCAATTTATGTTTTTGTAAATGCTTTACAGTGTTGATTTGTATTTAATTCTTAAGATTGTCTTAAATTTGTTTTTTTTTTCTTATGATGAATTGCGGTTCTGTCACGATCATATATTCATTTCAGGCTAATTGCCTGTAGTGTTTTGATCATTCTTGTTTTGCACTTTCAGATAATTTGCTGAAATTCCATCATGGGTAAGGAAAAATTTCACATCAACATTGTGGTCATTGGACATGTCGACTCTGGGAAGTCGACCACCACTGGTCACTTGATCTACAAGCTTGGAGGAATTGACAAGCGTGTCATCGAGAGGTTCGAGAAGGAAGCTGCCGAGATGAACAAGAGGTCATTCAAGTATGCCTGGGTGTTGGACAAGCTCAAGGCTGAGCGTGAGCGTGGTATTACCATTGATATTGCCTTGTGGAAGTTTGAGACCACCAAGTACTACTGCACTGTTATTGATGCTCCCGGACATCGTGATTTCATTAAGAACATGATTACTGGTACCTCCCAGGCTGATTGTGCTGTCCTCATTATTGACTCCACCACTGGTGGTTTTGAAGCCGGTATTTCCAAGGATGGTCAGACTCGTGAGCATGCTTTGCTTGCTTTCACTCTTGGTGTCAAGCAGATGATTTGCTGCTGCAACAAAGTGAGCCTTATACATTATATGGAAATTTTATTGCATTTCAGTTGTAATGATTGTACTTATTCGTTGACAGTTCTAACTCATGTTTCATTATTTCTTATTTTTGCAGATGGATGCCACCACTCCCAAGTACTCAAAAGCAAGGTATGATGAAATTGTTAAGGAAGTTTCATCCTACCTCAAGAAGGTTGGGTACAACCCCGACAAAATTGCCTTTGTCCCCATTTCCGGATTTGAGGGTGACAACATGATTGAGAGGTCCACCAACCTTGACTGGTACAAGGGACCAACCCTTCTTGAGGCCCTTGACCTGATCAATGAGCCTAAGAGGCCCTCAGACAAGCCCCTCCGTCTCCCACTTCAGGACGTGTACAAGATTGGTGGCATTGGAACTGTGCCTGTGGGACGAGTTGAAACTGGTGTTGTTAAGCCTGGTATGGTTGTGACCTTTGGTCCCACTGGTCTGACCACTGAAGTTAAGTCTGTTGAGATGCACCATGAAGCTCTCCAGGAGGCTCTCCCAGGTGACAATGTTGGGTTCAATGTGAAGAACGTTGCTGTCAAGGATCTCAAGCGTGGTTTTGTTGCTTCCAACTCCAAGGATGATCCTGCAAAGGAGGCTGCCAACTTTACCTCTCAAGTCATCATCATGAACCACCCTGGCCAGATTGGAAATGGTTATGCTCCAGTTCTCGATTGCCACACCTCCCACATTGCCGTCAAGTTTGCTGAGATCTTGACCAAGATTGACAGGCGATCTGGTAAGGAGCTTGAGAAGGAACCGAAGTTCTTGAAGAATGGAGACGCTGGTATGGTTAAGATGATTCCCACCAAGCCCATGGTCGTCGAGACCTTCTCTGAGTACCCACCGCTTGGTCGCTTTGCTGTGAGAGACATGCGTCAGACGGTTGCCGTCGGTGTGATCAAGAGTGTGGAGAAGAAGGAGCCAACCGGTGCCAAGGTGACCAAGGCTGCAGCCAAGAAGAAATGAAGTGTGTTGTGTTATCATCCGGCCTTAACTGGATTAGTTTTGTCGAATGTCGCTTATTTTCCATTTTTGCGCTACTCTCGTAGTTTATTTGGACAGTTTTATGAGTTTTACATCGTAGCCCTCTAACTTTGCTTGCAAGGATTGTTGGAGGAGCTGAGCGGCAAGAATCGATTCGGGTTGCTCGGCAAGCTGTGTTGTATGCTATTTGTTATGGTTTTTGGTTGCTTTATACATTGAGATGAGTCGTGTAGTTGGTTATTGGACAATTTCGTATTAATGTCTGCAACTTCTGCGCTTTGTCTCTTTAACATCGTTTTGCATTAAATTTCTATGTTCGTTGCTTTGTTCTTATAGTATTTCTTTATCAGATTTGCTTCTGTATCTGTGTTAAATTTATGTCTTCGTCTCTATTTTAAATCCATTAACGTCGATATGTATGGAGTCCTTGTGAACCCTCTGTACAATGGATTTTTAATGGTGCTCTGGAGTATGGAGTTCAGAAAATTCGGGCCTTTAAGCGAAACCAATATTTGACGACTAAAAGGCCCCGTGTATCCTATAATTCGGAACGCTACTGGCTGTTTGTTTGGTTTCACTAAATTTCCTTGAACTAGATTGGATTACACCTTGGTTTAGTACTGGTTTGATACTGAGATGATATTATAAAAAGTGGGTATAAAAAAAAGTTGAGCTCAAAAAGATATTTGGTAAACATTTTAAAACAGCTTATTTTTACAATTTTGGATGAAAAAAAACTGAAAACGTGAAGCAGCAAAAATGAGCTTATTGTCACAGCACAACATAATCATTTTTTTTCAAGGCACAACAATGCAAAACTAGCATTTAGTCCCGTGTTTGTTTCATGCCGAGACTACGTTTAATGAGACTCGCCTAGACTAAGTCGGACTAAAAGCTTCATTGAAGGGTCTTAGCGAGACCCCCATAAATTGGCTGGACTGCTAAGCCAAATCTGCTTGCTTCACTCGTTCCTCCCATCTGCTTCTATCTTGTATCCCACAACCCTTTTCAAACCCAAATCCCGCAAAACTAAAAAAAAAAAATGCACAAAATTTGCAGCCGTTCCCTATTCAAAACCAAAACCAACTCCCAAAATTTGAACCTAGATAACCTAGAAAATCCCAAAATTCGAACTTAGAAAACTCAGAAACCCAGAAAACCCAAGAAATCAAAAAAAAAAAAAAAAAATGCAATGGGATGATCATGGTTGTTTCAATCACACATGCACCCAGAAAACCCAAACCAGATCCTAATAAGGGTAAAACTGTAAACAGTTAAGGTTGTTATGGTAGTTTTGTAATTAGTGAGTGATTAGTTGATGAAGGTGTAATTAGTTAGTTATCTAATACTAGTGAGTAACTAGTATATAAGACATCATTGTGTAACCTTATTGAAGTAATGAAATGAAAGGATAATTTTCCTAATAGATCCAACCCCTATCCTCCACCTTTGAGCCAATCACATATGTAGCCAACCTCCTTCAATCTCTTTCTTGCTCTATGTTTTGATTTTAAGATTTGCAATTGATTTAGTGAGAGGAAGTGAAGAGGCAGGATGGAGAGGTGAAGTGCAGAGGCAGGAGGTGAAGAAGGTGAAGTGCAGAGGCAGGAGGCGAAGAAAATGAAGTGAAGAGGCAGAGGATTTGGAATAAAAAAAGTTGGTCTATTCTTCTGATTAAAAATAAAGGCTGACAGGATTTGCAAACCTGAAACATAATTAGGTTTTTAAAAATTAAATAACTACAATATAATATTTTATAACAAATATTAGTTGTTTTTTGTTTTTATGGTAAAAGTAAATTAAAAATGATTAAAAAAATTATTTTGGGTTCTAAAAATATTTTAGTCCATAGTTTAGTCCCCTACTGCACCAAACATTTCACTATTCTTACTGCATCATACACTTCATTATTCTTATCTTACTTAGTCTAAGCCAAGCCAATCCAGCTTAATTCCTAAAGCTAGTTTAGTCCGAGATAGTCCAGTACAACAAACACACCCGCAAGTTATGTGTATCTGTTTTTAGTAAATATCGATCTTGTGGTGAAAACTAGATCTGACAATTTCTTACATGACCCGTTAACACGACACGTAAACGACACGAAAATAACAGGTTTCGGGTCACCACGATAACTAATCGGGTCATTATCGGGTCACACGATAATAACCCGTTAATAACGGGTCCTTAACAGGTTTACACGAGAGTGACACGCGGGTAACCTGTTTCAACACGATAAGAAAAAAGTTATTTTGATGATTTTAATTTTTTAAACTACTAAAAAAAACTTACTATAAAATAAAATAGATATAATGAATATGTATATATTGTTTATTAATTATTATTCTATATGAATTTTAAATTTTATGTTTTATTTATTTATTTTTGTAGTATATTATAGGCAAAGATTGAGATTAAAAATCATAAAACACATTAAAAATAAAAATATCAAGTAATTTAAAAATACCAAACACATTAAAAAATTATAATAATTAATTTACATGTGCGAAAAATATGAAAAAAATATGCAAACGCTCAAAGTCGCATCCTCTACGCTTTGAGGATGGGTATATGATCGTTTGAAAATTTTAAACCATACAAACTCTCATGAATAATATTTTTAAGGGAGTTCAAAATAAACAAAATTCATAATCATTAATGTATAAGTCTGAAAGATGTGAAAGCATAATAAACGTTCATAATTGCATTCTCAACGCTTAGAAGATGGTTACATGGTCGTTTAGATTTTTAAAACCTTCCAAATATCATGAATAATGTTTAATTTGAGTGCAAAATTAATAAAATTAATAATTATTATTGTAGAAGTGTGAAAAATGTAATCACTCGTAATGAAAAGTCTTACAACTTTCATGAAGGGGTCAACTCCAAAATTTAGTATATATATACTAATTTAGTATTATGTTTTACATTTTTTTGGGTCAAATTATGTTTTTCATTTTCATTTTTATTGATTTAAGATATATTTTTCTTAACGGGCAACGGGTCGGGTCATATTACATGATAATATTAATGGATTGATTTCGGATCGGATCATATTACCCGTTTACTGTAACGGGTATTACATGACACAACCCGTTAAGCTATCGGGATAACACGAAAACGACACGAATGCCAAATCTAGTGAAAACTATTCGTTGTGCAATGAAATATGTGCTTACTTATTAGAGCAAGTTGTACATCCTAAACTTTAATCAAAGTTGTTCATTGCTCTTGGTTATGTATAGTGGCAATTCGACGGTGCTGGTTTTGCTTTCAGTTCCGGCCAATCTTTCCGGTTAGCCGGGCATTGCCCATCTGTACATATATTCTGTCTATTTATGCACTTACCACGCACGGCCCTTTTTTTTCCTCCCACAACGACCGGTTGAACGAGTGCCATTGGTTGTAAAAACTCGTATTTTACTCACTAAGATGCAAGTGCTTTTGCTCGCTGGCCAAATTAACGTTTACACTCTTATTTCTAAACGTTAATTTGAGCATAAGCGCTTAGGCAGAATGCTCTTTTATAACATATATGACAGTTAGCAAGATGATACTAAATAATAATAGATCTCCAATCTCCAGTATAAACTCGTTTGTCATGTCTGAAAACAACTTATAAATCCAAACACGAACTATTCGTGATGAAATTAAACCTGCAATAACTTAAAACTTGGACAATTACACCTACCAAACGAACATCCAAACTAAATATCATGTGAAAATTACCGAGTTTTTAAATTCATTCATGAATACAAGCTGCTGTTGCCCATGTATGAGTTGTAGTTGGTATTTGCCCCACTGGAGTCGCGATCCCGAGTCAAAATTGTTGTGCCCGAACCCAACTGCTGAAGCTGAAGCTGAGCTGATGTCCATAGAAGCATATACTGGGCGTCTGTCACCATGTGTGCTAATGCGGGTTCAACACGCAAGTCACATCTGCACCAGGTAAAGACATTCAATTGTTACATACCGATTGATTCCAGTGGAGCACTAGGATTAGTACTTTCCAACTCATTCTTTGTAGACAATTCCTAGAGTTTAAACAAAGGAGTTATATCAAAAGATTAGATTTCACAATCCAACGTCACAAGGTGTACCCGACAGTTCACTACAACTCTTTATCATTGTCAAGCTGTGCCCTTGTTGCTGCCTTTTCGGCTTCTTCTAAGACAAAGTTTTTAAGTGAGTCAACATCCCTCGGCCCTGATCATTTGCACAAGAAACAATAACTAAGTGAGATACTCTACCACACAAAGTCTAATACGTTATTGGAACAAGAAATTAAACACTCAGCCTTTAGTGGGCTGCACTTGACTCAAAGTCTACAAATAATATATACAGCTACATGAAACAGTTATTTGGACTGATAACAGATCAAATTCACTCAAATGAATCCACAGCATGAGCACACCGCCACCGTGCCATCCCATGCCATGTGAAGATAAACTTACACATGACATTGTATCATCGGCTCGGGACGCCACGGGGGAGATGTAACCATTACCATGTAAGTCCTTCTCCGAATGTACATACTAATTAAGCCAAGGATTAGTCCCACAAGAAATATTATCTCTATCTCTGCTATACTAAACAAACCAGCCAAATCTTTCACAGGTACCTACAGCACCACTCAAACATTCTCGCAATTTATATCTCACATTTCCTCCAGCAAAAGAATAAAACAGGGAAAAAAAAGAATATAAAAACATATATTAAACCATGCACACATCTTTATCAACATTGGGGTATGATAAGGTATGGTGCAGTACTGTTTACCACTTTTCCACAATAATACTATATTACCTCTTTCAATGTTGACGTAGCCAAATGTTAGGACTTCTTATTTGTGATGGATTTCCAGTGTTGTTATTATTCTTAGGACATTTCAACTGATGAGAACAAGTTGTAGGATAATAAATGATACCACAAAATGGCGGATGTGATGGCCAGTTTGTATGGCCAACATAAATTATAATGATTTCCCACATGAATCTGTATTGAACTTAAAATGAATATGGAAGCGCTAGTGATCTGAATTGAGAATAAATTGATATGAACATTTTCTTCTTCTCGGAAGTTATTACTAACAAGCACATTCGGGTTGGTTAATCACGTAAATACGTGCCCAAGCCCACGAGAAGCTTGCACATAAAATCTATTTTCTAGACAAGGCACTTCAACAGGAATTTCATATAAATAGTGTTTAGATTATAATGTGATAGTATAAGTGCTGTTAGTAAGCCTGAGTAGATCAAATAGAAAAGATTTTATGCACCACAAAGATGACAACGAATGGAAACACAACTGATATAGCAGAAACAAAATTTGAATCGTACCTTGATATTTTGCGACTTCTTCACCATCATAGAATACTTTAAACGTAGGATATGAATGAATGTCAACTTTGGAACATACGGGTTTACTCGTACTGCAATCAACTTCCCCAACCTCTATTTCGTCTTCGCCTTCCACTGTCTTCCCAAGGTCCTCCCACAACGTACCCATGTTCTTACTGAAAGCAAATGTTGCTATTAATAGTAAGAATATCAATCTTTCATTATCTTTTCTAATCATGAACTTGGCAGAGGTAGGGAAAACTTACCAATGTTTACACCACGGTACACAGAATTTCACAAACCATGCCGTGTCTCTCTCCTTCACCTAAGAAAACACATACACAAATAAACAATCAGCAAGGTGATAAAGGTTAAACACATTTCTCATTAGCTATAGCTTGAGATATAAATTTCTCTTTCCAAATTACTTCCTACTTAATTAGCCTCTTGTTTTCCTGGAATCATACATTTCTTATAAAACCTATGACATTTTTCACTTTAACTTCCAGTCCAATTTCATAGACTCAATCGCCATTTAATTCTGGCAGCGATAATAAATTAAAAGAAAATTGACAAAAAGGGCAAAACTAACTAGGCATCAGCATTGATAAGATCACCAGGGATTTATAAGCTAGTAAGGGAAAATTGGATCTGGGTTAGGTTTAAAAACCATAATTAAATGTGCCTGTGTGTAGAAATTGCAAAACAGGATCTGCATCAAACATCAAAATCACAACAAGGCCCTACCCAATCTGCCCAGAAATTGGGAAAAGAATCTGAGCGGTAAAATCATAGCCATAACTTCATGACCTTTTTTAGTAGATTGGATCTGTGAAATTGAATGCAAATAACTAAGAATTTGAAAAGGGTTTTTTGAGTTGTTACCTTGTCCGAGAAGGTGTCGGCGGTTAGGGTTATAACCTCAGCTTCGGCATGGGTTGTTAGGATTGGAAGAGAAAGAGAAGAACTGAGACGAAAACTAGAGAAGCAGAGTGGGTTTTCATGGCTGCTGAGAAAATTTCAAAAATTTCCGGGAAAATTAGATTGACGGACGACGCTCTGCAAGTTATCCCCTAAGCTTCAGTTTCGTACTAGAGAGATATACCTAACGTTTTTGCTTTGCACCCGCCCAAAAAGAAAAGCATGCCTTGCAGGCTGTTCTATATAAAATGGTTGATTTATTAATTGCCTCAGGTTTGGGTCATATATACAAACTCATACCTCATCTTCTAAACATTGCAAATTTATACATCAATTTAAGATACATTGTAATGTTGTATCTTCGTAAATATTCAGTCAATTTGACTGTTAAATGATGATGTGGCAAGTGCAGGGCTCACTCCCTCGCCCAAATGATGTTGTTGATGTTTGAATTATTACTTAAGCGTTGATTAACGTATTTATTTCCTTGGTGACATATCATTTGGTTTGCAAATTTTGGTTTTTCTAATGGTTATACGAGAATCCAAAAAATGAAGGAGATGGATGTTTGTTGTCCTGGTCACATAATAGACTCATACCTCATTTTTTTAACATTGCAATGTCATACATAAATTACGAATTTGTTGCAATATCAGACCTAGTTCTCTTGTCCATCAATTTGTTTGTTTACTGACATGGTAGTCATGTGGCCTACTCCCTCACCCACAAAAAACTCCACGCTGCTGAATTATTCACGGTGGAGTGTAACTTGTCCCATTCACTAAATATATCCCATTCGCTGAATGGTTTGGGTCATATATCCCATTTACTGACCGTAATACTAAGTGACACTATGTTACTCAATTGTACATAAAGAAAATTGCGGTTTCACCATAAAACAATTAGTAATATGCAGAATAACCTAACTTACTTATAAACTCATGCAAGACCCTCCTACCATCATTGTAGGAATCTCCGCCCCATGTGTTGCAAATTTTCAAGTTAACACGTGTACAACACAAACATGTGACTATTAGGCTTCAGACAATTTGCTCGAATACTATGAAGAAAGAAGTTCCACCATAAAACCAAAATTGATAATATGAGAAGTAACTCAACTTCCAAGTCCATTCAAGGTTCCTCCTTCTATCAGTTCATTCTCAACAATAATCAAACTTTTGTGAGATTGTTAAGGAGACTCTTAAAAGTGGAACTTTGCATACTCCTTATTATCTCATTGAAAAACATCAAGTCTTTGTGCCAATACTATAAAATATTATGCCAATGCCAAAATGAGATGGCATAGAATACATAAAAGTCTCAATTCTAAAAAAATACCAATAACATTTATCAACTTCTGTTTAAATAGGGTTTTGAGAACAGTAAAGACCAAGACCAATAGGAGTATTGGTTCTTGAGGGTCTCGATACAGTGAAGGGCATACCATCCGTATTTTAAAATCTCAACCCGTTCATCCAACACTCGTTCATCCGTTTCATTTCGCATTGCGTTACACACAATACAAAATTCTTGGTATTGCAACTTGATTTTCTGTGCCCAACAAGAAAATGGTTGAGATCGGATTAGTTGTAAAACAAGCAATTCCGATAGCCACCAAACAAAAACAAAAGGTAGTACATTTCTTATTCGCGAGCAAGTCATTCACAAACGTAACATAACTACAAATTTTAACCAAAAGAAGAAAGACAAGACCAAGTACAAAAGCTAAAAACATGAACAAAAAGCTCCTAAATAACCTCGAAAAATAAAAACTCCACAAGGCCACTCTTTATTCACCTGTGAGACTCTCTTAATCAAATCCCATAACCATGTCATTCCCAATACTCTTGATCACCTCCGGCACCCTCTCAAACCTCCCCTTATCCCCTCTGTCATCCTCCCTTCTTCCCTCGCCCCTTCCCGCATCCCCCCTTCTCTCGCCCTCTCTTCTCTCGCCTTCCTCCGGCTGCTGCTGCTTCCTCTCTTCCTCTTCCTCCTTCGGTGGCTTCCTCTCTTCCTTGTACGGAGGTGCTGCTTGTGCCGTAGGCAAGATCACTGCCTCACGCTGAGCATCAATAAACTTTCTCAACCGGTCCTCGCTCACGCTGAAAGCAGCTGCAAGCTCGGGTCCTTTGAGCTCCTGAAGAACGGATGCTGCACCGACCAAAAACTGAGGCCTGTTCTTCCGAGCGGAAGTTGTGAATCCGAAGAACTCAAGTGGTCCGGTTCTTGACGCGATTTGACAGAATGCGAAGTACCTCGGCACCCAAAACACATCACCTTCTTGTATCTTGGCATTTATGGCTTGTGTCCCATTTGGGAACACAATCTGTAGCGTTCCGGAGCCTCTCAACACTATGCCGTATTCTGTCGCTCTGGGATTCACATGTGGTGCCATCATTGAACCGGCAGTGAGGTTGACAAGGTAAACGCCAATTCCAGAGTGTTCCAACGGTGAGTAATCAGAATGATCGAGCTGCATGCTCCATCCGTAGTCGTTTCTGAAGTCGGGTTTTTTGTCGTAGAGATTGTAAGAGTCCGGTGATTTTCCTCTTCCCTTGCCCTTGTCGTAGTCACCTCGCCTCTTCTTGTCGTAGTCATCTCGCCTCTTCTTGTCGTAGTCATCTCGCCTCTTGTTTTCATTCGAATCAGCGCCAAACACCGAGTTCAAGAGCTTCCTCCATGACCATGTTTCTGATTTGCCTTGGTGATGATCTTCTTGTTGGATGTCAAACGTACTCTTCATTTCTTGAAGTCTGTCTTGCTGTTTTAGCCGGAGGAATTTCGACCAGACGCTTGGCGAATGAGATTCGGGCACAAAGACAATCGGACCTTGTTGTTGACTTGTGAACATTTCGCTTAGTTCTGATGACGTGACCTGCAATATTGGACACACATTTGTTTCTTTAATTTCTGATCACACTAATTAAAACATATGATGACGTTTAATACATCACAAGGTACTGCAACACTCACCAAATTCGTTTACTAAATTGTTTACCAATTGATGTAATCAAAGACTCAAAAGAGTTTCGAGATGATGCGGTAGACTGGTAATATTCCATTATTCAAATTTGAGTTCACTCCAGATCAGCAGAAAACACTTGCATGATAGGGATGATGCCACCACGGGTCCCAATTCATTCAAGTCCTTCTCAAAAATGAACTCATATGTACCTCTAAGCGCTAACATGAGAAAATTTGATACAAAATTTGGTGTGTTCTAGGATTATTGTTAATTATACAGAAAATTGGAGAACACCCCATTGCAATATAAAAATCCATTCAAACTAATATTCGAGTTCGACAAAACGTGGAGCATTGGTCCTCGCACTTCTTTAGATTTTCTGTCGAAAGCACATGAAAAAGTGCATGAGTCCCCTTTAATGGATAAATCCGGGATACCAACCACACTATTTCACGCATGTCACGTGCTTAATTTTGACAAGAAAAATTATAGGGTTGGTGTCACATATTTGTGGATTTCATTTATCAATTTGAATGGATTCTTACTCATAATAATATGATGATAAATAATATATATGTAGCAAGTTTAAATTTAAGAACTGATCATAATAAAGCTGTGATGTACTTACATTGAAGGCATTTGCAAGTACTTCATGGTCAAATCCAGCAATAACAGACTGCGGGTTGCTTCCTCCGCCAATGAAGAAAGACTGCATTATTTTCCAAAACACTCAAATTACTTTACAGATGCTGAAAATTTGAATTACCATAAACCCTAATTAGATTTTTTTATGATTAATTAAGAAATGATATTTTTTATTTGTTGTGTACCTGCAAACCCATTCCCAAACTCTCAGAAATGTCGATGCTGCAAATGATGTGAACCCTCTGGCCCTCCCCAGTATTCACCAAGTAAAATGGAGACCCAGCTGGAATTATATACACATCCCCTGCCTTCAATATCCTCTCTCCCAATTCATCTTTGTAGATCAACCCCACCTTTACTTCTCCTGCAAGCAAACAATTACAATTCATGTTCCACAACTCATTAGATAATCTTATTCAAAACACCAACCCATCAAAGGGAATTGTTCACTAGAAAAATTGGAAGTCCTACTTTCCACAATTGCATGCATAATATTCAAGTCACAAAAATAAATGCAAATATCCACACAAAAAACAAAATAAAAGCAAATAATTAAGAAATGTGTTAAAAATTAAGATTCCATTATCCACTGTACCCTTTAAAGTGTATCACTCACTCACTCACCAAGTCCCGCGTTGTACAATTGCATGCATCCAATTCAATTACAAAAGTAAAACCAAACAAGCATGGAAATTAAGCAACTCATCAAAGACTGAAAATCAGAATACATGAATTTTGTAACACCACGCATCAGTGTGGATCTAATAATCAAAATTTAAACTACGTGTGGATATGATAATCAAACTTACGTCGGTATGGAGAATAGACTTAAAGATTTATGGGTCCACTCACCACCTTCAAAGCGTGCGAGTTTGCATTCATCGATCATTGCAAAGCATTGACATTTCAATTCAAAAAGTAAAGGCAAAATTAAGAAAACATATTCTCTTAATTAGTCGATTAGTAATACGATTACCTCTGCAGACGAAGAGGATGAGATTGGAGTCGAGATACTGAGGAATAAAGAGGGACTTAGGCTCCATGGTAATAAACCCAATATGCATGGGCTTATATACAGCCCTACCAAGCGCACCCATCACCACTCTCATCTCTCCTGCTGCAGTTTTCACTACATGCTTTGCTTCTGGCAGCAAAAACCTATCTTCTCTCGATTCTACTCCTCCCCATTCCGGATATTGCTCCTCCTCCTTCTTCTCCGGCCACCTCCTTCTCCCACCGCTTTCCTGCTCCTCCTTCCAATCTTCTTTGTCCTCCGTCGTCCCTGTCCTCCAACCCTCATCCTGGTCACCAGTGTACCCCACCGTCATTGAAACTCCATAGCACATCACCAGCATCAAAACCACAAACCTGATCACTTTGTTTCCCATTTTTTCTTCTTTTTTTGCTTTCTCTGTGATAATTTCTGTGAGTTAAACTCTAGGGTGAAGTGTGGGGTTTATAGAGGAGAGGGAGAGAGGGGGACACGTGTCGGCCATGCAGAGTTTGGGGTTTGCTGGCGGTTTATTGTTTAGACACAGATGAGGTTTGGAAGAGAGATATTCGCGCACAGCGTGAGAGTGTGACAGACAGAGTTATCACTTGACGCAGCTTGAATAAACCAACCTGCCTACGATCTATTCCTCCTGTTCAGAAACGATTCAGATTCTTTGTTTTTATCTAGTTTTAAACTCGCAGAAACTTTTTCATTTTACTTTAGGAGTAATGCTACATTTATCACCTAATTGTATCATCAGTATGGCAAGTGGTCATTTACTACAGTGATGAAAATATGTTGAACTCTTACATGACGGTGTGAGTTTAAACCCCGTGAGTGGCTAATTTAACATTTAATATAACAAAATCTATCGTTTGACCAAAAAAAAAATTGTACCATCTTACTAATAAAGGTAGGACTCTTTGGTTGAGTAATTCTCATCCCTTTATTAATTAAAATGTTAGATGACACAACTAATTGGAAAACAATTAAAAAAGCAAAAATTGAGGAGTTGGTCACGTGGGAAATGAAGAGAGAAAGTCTTTCTTCTTTGTTGGAACCAAGGTCCAAGAACAACATAATTATGGTGGTCTTTCTTCTTGGTTCAAAGCTTATGTTGCACAACATAATAAAGGTAGGACTCTCTCTCTTAGAAGGATGGTAGGATTAATATTTTTGTTTTTCTGTTCTTTCGCCAACTCATATTCGATTCCATTAATAGGCTTAAATGTAGCAAAACCTTAAACTTTATTATGAGTTTAATTTTCGACTTAAAAATCTAACTTTGCACTTATATATTGTTGATGCACAAAACCGGAGGTCTTGGTACAACGTAAATCCGACCGTGAATCTGCAAGGAAGTAAATAACACAAGATGTATCATGGTTCACCCCAAGGTTTGGGCTACGTCCACACTGATTGTATATTTATCTGAGAGGTGAGGGAGAGAACCTCTGTAATGAGAGGAGATGTGAGAGGGGTGAGAAGGCTCCATAAATGGTCTCTCCTAATTGTGAGGGTGATGGGTCATTTTATAGAATAAGGACTCCTCACTTATTACATATTTGCCCCTTCCTTTATTACATAATTACATTTAAGTCCCCCGAGTATTTATACGAGGTCTAAATACGAGGCCCTAAACATGGTATAAACAGTAGTCCCCCAAGTCTTTAGTCAAGAGAGTCTTTTGGCTGGAGACTTGAAATTCAGTCCATGTGTGGGCCGAAGTAACTAGATGTTGTCTTGAACTGATGCTCGATATGAGGCATTGCTCAATCTGAAATGATGCTCAGCTAGAAGTAGCACACACTGCGAGGCTGCTCGGCTCGTGGCTTATGTTGCCTTGGTTGGCTCGGCTTGCGGCGTTTGAAGGTGAGGGAGTCACTTTTATAAAATAAGGGCTCGCTCCTCAATACATGAATGATGGGCTAGAGTTGATGCTCTCTAATGATGGTGAGGGAGTCCCTTTTATAGAATAAGGGCTCGTTCCTCAATACATAAATGATGGGCTAGAGTTGATGTTTGCGGCGAGGCAGTTGCTCAGTAGGTGGCGATGCTCTCTAATGGTGGTGAGGGAGTCCCTTTTATAAAATAAGGGTTCGCTCCTCAATACATGAATAATATGCTAGAGTTGATGCTCTCTAATGACGGTGAGGGAGTCCCTTTTATAAAATAAGGGCTCGCTCATCAATACATGAATAATGTGCTAGAGTTGATGCTCTCTAATGACGGTGAGGGAGTCCCTTTTATAAAATAAGGGCTCGTTCCTCAATACATAAGTGATGGGCTAAGTCCCCCAAGTATTTTTCATGAGGCTCAGTTAAGGCCCAATATATGGTGTATAGTGTAGTCCCTCAAGTCTTCGGTCAAATAGAGTCTATTGGCTGGAGACTTCAAATTGAATCCATGTATGAGCCGAAGTGGCAGTTGTTCGGAGGCGGTATTTGTATACCCTGTACTGAAGCTTTGTAGGTGAAGCTTTGCAAGTGAAGCTTTGAAGCTAGAGCTTTGTAAATGAAGCTTTCGAAGCTAGAGCTTTTATAAATGAAGCTTCTGAAGTTTAGAGCTCTGTAAATGAAGCTTTTGAAGCTAGAGTTCTGTAAATGAAGCTTTTGAAGCTGATTGATATGAGTGATGCTCATGAATGTTTATGTTGATTGACATGAGTGATACTCATGGACGTTTGTCATGAATGATGCTCATGAATGTTGACATGAATGATAGTCATGAATGTTGATGTATGATTGTCATGAGTGATGCTCATGAATGTTTATGTATGAATGACATGAGTAATGCTCATGTATAATTTGGAGTACTGGGCGTACTTTTGATCACCTGGTTGGTGGTATAAATTAGAGTACGAGTTATACATTTCATCACCTGGTTGGTGGCATAAAGGAGAGTACGGGTTGTACATTTCATCACTTGGTTGGTGGCATGAGTGGCTAGTTGCCAAATGATATTAGAGTACAGGTTGTACATTTGATCACCTGGTTGGTGGTAATAGCGGCAGGTTACCGAATAATTTTGGAGTACTGGGCGTACTTTTGATCACCTGGTTGGTGGTAATAGCGGCGGGTTGCCGAATAATTGTGGAGTACTGGGCGTACTTTTGATGACCTGGTTGGTGCTATTTCAGGCTTATGGGCCTTCGCCCTCCACAACATGCCAGCCCATTTGTTTTGGGTTTTGCTGTTTTTATTTTTTTTAGTTACCCTCTGATGGGGTTTATACATATTACACTCTGATGGGGTTTATACAGATGTCTCCGAAAGATAAAAATAAATTACATCATTCTGGTGGGGTGTTTATTCCTTGCTTTTGCTTTTGCTTTCACTTTCGTTTTCTCTTTTCTTTTCTGCTTTTGTTTCTCATGTGTTCCCCCCTAATTCTCCTGTAAAATGTAACAGCTGCCTGGATAGCCTTGACACTACCCAGTTGTTTTTCTTGCTTTTCTCTAAAGTAACAGCTTGCACCTCCCTCTTTTGTTTTTGTTGGACAGCCTGGTTGTGCCCATCACTCCTCATTTTTTTTTCTTTTCCTTTTGCTTCTACTTTGCAGAGTGCAGATGGCACTCAAGTTCTCTGTTTCCCTTTCTGCTTTTGCCAACAAAGGCAGTGGATGATGTTGGCGCCACTGAAGATGCAGTGCAGCAAATATCAGCTAGACCAAGAACACAAGATTTACCAGTCTGAAATGCAACACCATCAGCATCCTCTCATCTCTTTATTACTGCTCTGCTCCAGTTATACATATTTATAACAATTTTCCCTGCAGATGAGGGAAGTTGTAGACGATGCCGTCAAACCTGAGTGGGCCCACCAAGTCGGAGAGCTGGCTCATCCAATTTTTGGTTTTGAATTGAATTCACTAGCCATTGAAAAAAAACTCAACCCAACACACTAATCCAGACTCTGCAGAACTCACAATTCCAATCCACTTCTCCCTCCAAAGTTTTACACAAAATACCTCCCACCAAGTTCATAATTGAGCTTGGATCGCAATTTCCCCGATTTAAAAAAAAAAAGAAACTGTTCCAATGGCTTCAAGCTGCCGGATCCGGATACCCTTAACCGGAAACTAAAGGAACATCTCCTGCGCTGAGATACCTGACAAGGATCCGACCCGCCCGAAACTCAGCGTCCCTGAAATACTCAGCGTCTCTATTCCAATTCGCGATAACCAAGGTAATGCTATGCGCTCTCGAACTTGCAGGCCTGATCCAGGTGGGCTGTAGACCTGCCGAAGTTGTCTACCTTGAAAACTCATGGGCCCGCAGCACGTCGTACACTGTTGTCAACTTCGGATTTGAGCACGTGATCAACGGGAGCAGTAAGAGGAGGAAACAGCAGGTGAAGTGCGGCGGTGGGGACGAACTCGAGAATCTGGGATTCAAGGGAGATGGACTCAGCCTCGGAGAGAATGAAATCTGCTGCTTCGCGGTACTGGGGATTTAAGTGGGCCATGTTGATTCGAATGTATCGTTTGGAACCGCGAGATTATCGGATCGTCGTCGGATTGTATGGCCGTTGATTTTGATGAGAGCATCAGCAAAGAAATTGTGCAGAGATGGAGACGAAGCTTCATTGATTTATTTATTTTTTTTTTCTTTTCTGAGAAGTGGAAAATGTGTGGGTTGTGGGGAAAGGCGTGAGTTCAGAGAGAGAGAGAGGGAGAGAGAGAGAAGAAATTGTGGTTGAGTTTTGGAGTTTTCCTTTCTGCATTTTTGAGATATGGGTTTTGCAATGACTTTGGTTTCTGGGTTTGTGTGATTTTGCAGATTCACCGTGGAGTGTGGTGAGGTCTCACGGTGGTAAGATGAAAAAATGAAGAGAACCGACATAGTTTTTTGTGTCATTTCCCACAGACGGCGCCAAATATTGATGCACAAAACCGAAGGTCTTGGTACAACGTAAATCCGACTGTAAATCTGCAAGGAAGTAAATAACACAAGATGTATCGTGGTTCATCCCAAGGTTTGGGCTACGTCCACACTGATTGTATGTTTATCTGAGAGGTGAGGGAGAGAACCTCTATAATGATAGGAGATGTGAGAAGGGTGAGAAGGCTTCAGAAATGGCCTCTATTGTGAGGGTGAGGGGTCCTTTTATAGAATAAGGACTCCTCACTTATTACATATTTGCCCCTTCCTTTATTACATAATTACATTTAAATCCACCGAGTATTTATACGAGGTCTAAATACGAGTCCCTAAATATGGTATAAACATATATCATATAAATTTACACTTAAATTTTGCTTGTAGCAAACCCTTAAATTTTTTATATATCATATAAATAAGTGTATATTTACACTTAAAAATCTATATTTGTACTGAATTTGAGTTTATTACTTTAATTAGATTTATTATTAAACATATAACATCAAAAATATCATAATTTTGCTTTAGTAGATG